CGATCCTCTCCGTCTCCCTCCGACCTGGTAATCAAGAATATAACTGTCAGTATCCTCTTCAAGTCCGTTCAAGACTCTGTCTGCAATACTCACAAAGTCTTTGATCATCTCCATCCCGAACAATAAACCTGTCTTAACTCACCTAACTCACCTGTGTATCGAGTCTGACTTCCCGTTACAGAAGACCAGACCTCAACCATCATGGACCCTGACCACCCTGACCCATTCCAGGAGCTGGTGGATGCTATGAGAAGAGTTCTCAGTCAAACCACCACGACGCCTGCACCAGCACCTGCCTCGGATCCTGCACCCAGTATTTCTTCTTCGGCCCCGATCTACCACGCCAGTCCCATGGTCAATCCAGCGCCCTACTCTGGCTCGGCGGAGGAATGCAATGGCTTTCTCATGCAGTGTTCTCTCGTATTAGAGATGCAACCACATCGCTTCCCCACAGAAAGAGCTAAAATTGCATATGTTCTAACCTTGTTAACAGGTCGAGCGCTACAATGGGCGGAGTCATTTTTTTTTTCTTCACTCATTTCCGAGAAGTTTTCGGACAGCCCGCTGGAGATGCTTCAATTGGTGAGCAGTTATATAATTTAAAACAAGGTCAGAAGTCTATTCGGGAGTATACTCTCTGTTTCCGTACCTTACGGAAAAGTGGTTGGAACGAGCGCTCCCTGCTGACCACCTTCCGTCAAGGATTGGAGCCCTCGCTCCGGTTGCATCTCTCCGCCTACGACGACACTATGGGGCTAGAGCGTTTCCTTCAACTCTCCATCCGTGTTGCCAATCGGATTCAGAGCTGTATGTAGGAAAATTTGTGCCAAAAGCCAGCCAACTTTCTCTGCCAGCCAGAATACCCCAGTCCTCCAGAACCACATCCCGAACCTATGCAGATCGACAATGCCCGCCTCTCGTCGGAGGAACGTCGACGCCGGCTGACCCAGTGATTATGCTTATACTGCGGCAAGGACGGACATGTAATAAGGGCATGTCCCATTCGTCCTCCACGACCCGTGGTGAGTGTGGTCTCTACCTCTTCAGTCAATATAAAACCTCTAACCACTACTGTTCAGATTGCAACTCCTCTTCATTGTGTTTCAGTCTATGCCCTCCTCGACTCTGGGTCAGCCGGCAACTTCATTTCCGCCGACTTATGTAACCAACTTCAACTTAAGAAGAGACTCCATGACATCTCGTACAAGATCCAATCGATAACCGGCAAGTCCCTTGTGAGAGGAAGAGTTCGATATTGTGTGGGTCCCAGAATGGAGGCACTGGCTTGAAGGAGCTCATCATCCGTTTATAGTCTATACGGATCACCGGAATCTGGAATATCTTCGTGAGGCAAAGAGATTAAACCCCAGACAAGCCAGGTGGGCTTTGTTTTTCACCCGGTTTAATTTCACCATCTCCTATCGTCCCGGGACGAAAAAGACCAAAGCAGATGCTCTTTCAAGACTTCATGCTCCAGACGAACAACCCGAGAATCCAGAGACTATCATCCCCACTGAGCTCATTGTTAGCCCGATCCAGTGGACCCTAGACAACGACATCGCAGCAGCCAGTGTCTCCGATCCTGCTCCGCCGGGGTGTCCTCCGAGTCACATATATATTCCCCGCAGTCAACGAACCCCCCTCATTCATTCAGCGCACACCTCCCTGGGTACTGGTCATCCCGGGACCAATCAAACCCTCTCACTGTTGAAAGATCGCTTCTGGTGGCCTGGAATGGCAAATGACATCAGAAGGTACGTGAGAGGATGCCGGGAATGTGCCATGGCGAAAACACCTCGCCACTTACCAACATTATGCTGATGTCCGGAGAACCCCTGCTCCCT